AGAAGCTCCTGGCGCTCCTCATTCCCCTTTCTTGAGGTCTTCATGCACGGATTAAAAACTCCTCTGCTGCACCAGTTTCCCCCCAGAAAAACCCCTCAGAATTGAAAAAATCAGCACGGCGGCCTTGCAAACCTGGGGAGGCCAGGACGGAGCGGGTTTGCCGGCATCGTCCCTTTACCTGGCTGCCGCACAGCGAGGGATTAAAACGCGTCGGGAGGGTTGGACAAGCTGGGGGGAGCATGGTCCTTTGCAAAACAACCAGCTAGAGGAAAACTAATCGGAGTCACGGGGCAGGATTAACTCCCCTGGCTCCGAAATGCCCCCTCGCCAGGCAATGGAGGTGCTGGGACAGGGGCCACGTCCCAGCGGTGGCTGGAGCGGAGCGTTCCCACCTTGGGTTTCTGCAGAGTCATCCTGGGGTCGCTGCTCCCCCCATCCCCAGCTTTGATGGGGGTAAAATAAAAGCCCCCAAACTCCAGACTGGGCGCAAGGGTTTGGGGTTACCTGGCTGTGCCCAAATCGGGGCAAATCACCCAGACACGGCGTCATCCCGACGGAGCCCCTGCTCCCCTCCCCATCGATCCCAAACCGTGCCTCTCCCAAAGCTCCCCCCTCATTTCAAACCCTCCCACCTCACCTTTAAACCTCCCTCTGCTGCGAGACGGGGGCGTTTCTGAAGAGAAACGATTTCCCTTCCTCGCTCCCATAAACTTGCCCGCGCTTTCCTGACGGGAGCCCGCTCCGATGCTCCCGAAATCCCAGCTGGGGAGGATTCCGGGGACTCTGCTCGCTTGGCAGCGTATGAGGGCACGGGGCAGGCAGCGGGGCAATCTGGGCAGAATAAATACACGCAGGACCCGTCAGCGCACGGAGCCAACGCTTCTCAAGGGTCGATCTCCAGATGGATCCGCTCCCAGGCAGAAGTATTAATTAAAAAGGAAAAAGGGGTTCTAATTAATTTTGGAGCTGGCCCAGAGAGGCTGAACCTGCTACAGGTGGCCCACAAAGCACTTGGACCACGGATGCAAACGAGATCACAAGAAGCTTTAATGAAAAATATCCCCCAAATTGTGAAAAAGATCCTTTAACCGCGCAGGTGGAGAGGGACGGGGTCGGAGGATTTTGGGATCGGCTCATCCTGCAGCAGCAAGGATCCAGCAACAGGACATGGTCAGGGTGGGACGAGACTTCACACCCAGCAGCAAAGAGGTCTGAGCCTCGCTCCTTCGCAACCAGGGCTTGTTCTGCACCACGCTAATTAGCCCAGCTACAATTAAAAGCCTTCGATTGGTCGCACCTGAGCTTCAATTGGATTTCTGTGCAAAGCACAGGACAGCGAGGTTCTCCAACCTACAGCCTGGAGGCTTCTCCCAGCTGGCACCGAGTCGCCCTTCACCAGCAATGCTAAAGAAATGGTGTTGATTTTAGGTGCACCTAAGGCTAAATACGACAGTGGGGAAATCGTGCTTCAGGAATTGCCAGCAGCCTGAAGGCTCAAACCCCATCACAGTCCTCTCCTTGTCCTTGCAGGCATCAGAGGATTTTTACCACAACCCTGACAGCTAACGAAGAGCGAGAGCGGGCAGCAGCCGCTGGATGTTCTCCGAGCCCTGGCTGTCAGTTATGGACGAGGATTACATCCGCCACCGAGGGATCCTGACAGCCCTGCAGACGCCGTGTGAGCGGTTTCCAGGCACGCACCGAAAAGCGGTGACTTCAGAAAAACCACCAGAAAGTCCCATTTCAGCCGCGATCGAGAGACTTTAAACCAGCACCGTACAAGATTCACATCTCAAGTCCTGGGGACGAGCTGCGAGGAGCTCTTGGGAACTGTCTGAAAGGTGCCAGGGCTGAGGGGACGGAGGGGTGAGGAGGGGGAAGCGAGTACCCCCCAGAGCAGGGGGCTGCAGCTGTGAACTCACTTCAGCCCCGCTTGCTCAGGGGGTGGCTGAGGAGTGGAATGGGACCCCCAGTGCTGCTTCTCCTCCCTGGGCAGGACGCTGGGGGGGGTCCAGCACAGCTCCCTCCACCAGCAGAGGTGCCCCCGGCTGCAGAGTCCCCAGATCCCCCTGTCTCCTGGCAGAACCCCTCAGAGGCTCACAAGGAGCCCCCCTCCAAGCTCCCCCACCTCAGCCCTGCGGGAAGGGCCCCCCACCCACATTGCCCCCTACAAGTCTGCTGGAGCCTCCCCTCTC